TTATGACCTGAAATCTCCAAACTAACCCTGTCAACCCTGGGATTAAAAAACGTTCACACAAAAATACGAGAAGAAAGGAAAAGCTATGTGTTTATCGAAAGGAAAATGTAATACAGATAGAAAATGAGACCAAAACTGTAACTTCATTCAAGCATTCTATAGTCATTTGCCAATTTAACTTTTTGAGCATTTATTCATAGAGAAAAGATCTAAAATAACAAATAAAATAGGAAAAAAAAACATAAATGGGTAATATAACTAAAATAGATTACTAAAATGATGTAGCAAATAGATGGGTTATTTATTTACCTTTTCTTAAAAATAAAGATACATTTCATATGGAGGAAGGAAAATGACATTCTAACAGATTTAAATAATATACATATTTAGCTGCCTTTTCTCATTAAAATAAAAAGGCTTTTCTCTCTCCACTAACACATGACTTGGAGATATCTGGAAAGATTGCCTGTATCAGTTAAAACTCTCTGAGCAGAGATGGAAGAAAACAGATTGTTTTGATTCACTGTCATTTGCGATGTAGCAACATTTCCCTTCAGTTTTTCAACACCTGAACGAAACAAGTTAAAACTTGCTCTCTGGCACATTTAGTCCTCTGGTTGCTAAAATAGATAATAGGGCAAACATATAATGATCATTCGGTATTTAGATTTTTGTAATGAGTGTTTTATATGTTTTTATTAATATGAATAATAGAATAAAATATCCCTGGAATGTTTATAAATCAAGAAAATGAATCAGTAACAAAGGCATGACTTTATTTTTCTAATAATTTCTTTTTTGAATACTGCCCACATGGAGGCAGTATTGCCTCAGTTCTTTCAGAGAGGTTAAATCCCCGGACAGCTCTGAATCCAAACTTTACTACCATGTCTTTTTTTTTAGAGGACATCATCTACAGAGTCGAACCCAGTATGTTGGAGACCACCATACTGGCCACCCCAAGCTGGCCTCAGGGAATGAAGCCTTTCTCCACTGTCTCCTGGATCGTAGATCTTCCTAGTCACTACAAAGCACACCTTAGGTTCACCAACGTCAGCAAGATCAAATGTGCAGAAAGACACACCTGCATCAAGGTTCAGTACCTGGGCCATAAGGAGGAGCTCATGAGCCGCAGGGAGGATGAAGACGTGGAGGACCAGGTGCTCAAGAAGAGCTTCTACCTGAACATCTCAAACTGCAAACCAGAGAAGATGCATTTTGGTGTCAGAACCATAATTGTTCTTCAGAAAAAGACCAGTAAGGAATCACTCTTTATTTAATACAAAAAAAAAAAAAAAAATCTCCTCTTAAAAATTTTGATTACATTTTTGTTTTTGTTTTTTCTCCATAGATTGGTTAGCCATCATTCTGGGTTTATGCGGAGCTCTTGTAGTTCTGATCGCTGTACTGGCTACTATATGTGTTTTAATAAGGTATGCATCTTTTCATTATTTTTTACCACCTTCTATATTTATGGTTTAAATGGTGAAAAAAGGAAAGTAAATTTTAGAAACATGGCTTTTCATCAGCAGTACAAACTCCTTCTCTGAATCCCATGCCCTTGTGTTGCCTTTATGGGATTTGCATACGCCAACCTTTGTGTCAATGTATTGATTAATCCAATCTTTGAATTAGAAAAAATAGAACATCAAAAAGTTAGAATTATTATTTTTTATTTTGTGGCCCTCTTATGTTGATTATACATAAATTAATTAAAACTATTTGTAGAAGGTATATTTCAACACGGTGCCTGTCGCCTAAACTGACTTCATGTGTGTCTTTATCTTTTCCGACAGGAAAAAGAAAGCAAAAATGAACACAGAATCTTCTATCTACATGGGCAAGGGAAATATCTTCCGTCCAGGTGATAAGCACTTTATCAAAACCCAGGCGGACAATGACTCCCACGTTTATGACTACATAGATGACACCATGGTCTATGGCCACCTCCTGAGTGGTTCCACCTACAATGATAGTTTGGACCTCCCAAAAGGGCCGCAGACGGACTCCTATCAAACTTTCACGGGTCCCACTGATGGACCGCCACCGGTTAGTAAGGAACCTGAGCCAGAGAAGGAACAGTACCAAACATTCCTGGACCCCTCTGAGACTTTTGTCCCGCCTCGTCCTCGCACACCCATCGACCGGCAGAACAGCCTCGGATTTCAAGACCGGAGGATGGTAGATAATGAACTCTACACATTCAAAGGCAAAGCAGAGATGAACACAATCCATCTCTCTGGCCCTGAAATGGAGCCGGACCTGCCGATGCCAGAGGACAGTTTGTAGTGTAAAGGAACTTTCTACATGATTGACCTGGCTTTTTTTATTGAATATTTGTCTGGGTCTGAGGTCCGTATCAAACTCGGGGATCTGAGGTCTTTTTAATGCATCGTTTTACTTCTCTGCAGAGCTCCAAGACTTTAACACCAAGAGCCTCATCTCTGCTGGAATTGTTCTGGGAATCAGATGCAATCATTCTATTAGTCAAACGAGAAGCTTAACCAAGCTGGAGCACAGTTCAGAAGCTTAAGAATGAAATCTGTGACCTCTTGGACTAATTTTTTTTATTGTTATAGTAATTTTTTTTTCTTATTTTGAAGGGAAATGACAAAATAATTCTAATTACTTTTTAGAGTATTTTTCTACACAGTTTTGTTGTTGACCTTTTCTGTGAGTAAATATAGATAAGGAGGAAAGCATACTAATATATCATCACTGATTTCAAGGGAAAAGATGTGACCAGTTTCAAATATGGTTAGACTAAAGCTACAGATTACTTTTATGTCGTCTGCAAGATTCCTCGTTGTTTTCTTTTTGTTGCCCCTTTTGAGGCAATCTGTCTAGTTTTAATAATTTCATTTTTATTTTTAAATCCGTTTTAATTTCAGAGGTTTGAAACAATCTAATTAGATTTTTTTGTGTGTGTGTGTGTAATTAGGGATATTTGTTTTCCAAGTGTTTTTATGAATTATGATGTGCAGAATAAAGTTTTATTGGTAAATGCCTCTTTGTTGTTTAAAACCCATCAAGCAGACACAGTTTTTTTTAATAAAATAGACATTTTAAAATAGTCTGAAAATCTTCAATTTATTTATTTATTTGAACTATGTTTGCTATAATATTTCCAGTTTTGTTTTTTAATGTGCTGAGTTGTCTTCACTATTTTATTTATATTCATTTCTTTTCTTGAACACAAAAATTTTACAGGAATTTTACTGATCAACAAAAGTGTCTGTTTCACAAAAGCGTAATTCAGAAGTCCGGTAAATGGGATAAGGTCAGGCTTGACCTAGACTCAAAACGGCCCTTAAACACTACCCCTACACACTAACCCTTCATCTGCATCAGAGCAGACTCATTTGAATTTAGCAGTAGGTGTAAAGGCGACTTAATGGCAGAGGAAAAACCTGCATTTAAATGTAATTTCTGCTGATTTGCTGCATCTTTGTCACACTGACAGAAAATCACAAGTTAGGGAAAAAAAAAGAACCCCCATTACATTCAACATCCCCATGCACATGGGGATGTTGGGTTACCGTAGCAATGACTGGTTTTCTTTTCCAGTGGAGGGAAGAGGGCATCCCATTCTCATTTATCCCCCTTATCTAGGCATCGGGAGTCATCGGGAGTGATACTCGATAGTTGAGGGCAATAGTTTACAGGGCGATTTGGGATTGGACCCTTGACCTCAGACTGTGTAGGTAATTTAGCCATTTGATTCAGGTGTGGCAGCAGAGACACATCTAAAAGATGCAGGACATCAAACATAATTTTACCAGTTTGCACATGTAGCAGACGCCATCCCCAGGAAAATGGAACGCTCATGCAGGTAATTATCAGAAAAAATGTAAATATGGAGGTGCCATTGTAACAGAGGACACATGTTTGGAGCTACTTTTATGGCATGACCTTATGGATATCTTTGCTTCTTTATCAGCAATCTCCCTAATCCTCTCAGCACAACAATAGTCTATAAACATAATTTCTTTCAATCTTAGAACAACAATGATCTTCAAAAAAAACCTATCCAACAGTAACCATGTCCACATAGAAAATTATGTGTATAATGGTATAAGCTACCTCAATAATGTTAAAATAATTTAAGTTCTTGGCTGTATAACAATATGTAGTAGTGATTTTTAATGTAGGCTTGTAAAAAATAGAAAAACATATATATATATAAGAAAATTGAATCATTAGCAAAACGTTGGTTATCTACTGAAACTCCAGATGTTTTGGATATAGGTGTAGCCCTTTAAGGCTCTCGCTTGTGGGTTTACCTCTTCACGCACGCAAGAGCACTGAAAAAAAGGTGAAGCAGGATGTGGTACATGCCTTACTGGGTCCAACTGAACCACAAGCCTAATCCACCTGTTCTCAAAAGGAGCTTCAAATCAGCCTCCAGCGTGCATTATTGCACAATCAGAAGCGCCATGCGCCGCTGAACCACCGAAAGGAGAAACCTCTCTGTTCAGGGCGGAGGTTGAATGATAGACCTGAGTCTTATGAACTGTGGAGACAAACTGAAACAGTAATGATGAGTAGAACAGGCTCAGAGGTAACACTCTTCAGTCATTAAGCTGTCATCCCCTCTGTCGTGGTGGAGACCACAACGGAAAGGTCTTGGCAGAGGTTGAGATCAAACCTGCTGCTGATGACGAAGCGGAAAAGTTATGAACAGTACATTTAGACCATTATTCATAGAGGGTTAGCTGAATATCACAGGGAGGACTTCTGTCATTCTGAACAATAGCATGTTGTTTATATGGAGAACTTTTCATTCAGGAACTTTTAAATGGTTTAAACGTTTGAAGATTGGAACTTGTGGAAAGAGGGCATGGAAGAACGAGACTGAGGAAAGTGATGGAATTAAACGCTGAAAGAGCCAGATTTGTCTGTCCGAATCCCACCTTTAAAACTGCAGACACTGTCCTATTGTCATTTACAGCTTGTTCTTCATTTCCACCCTTGTAACCTTATTACAACAAAAGAAGGAATCGAAATTCAGAGTTTATTGAAAGTAACATAGGATACATCACATAATAAAAATAAAAGCAGGATTAGTACAGTGGAGAAATGCAAGATTCATTTGCTTTAAAGAAAACTGCAATTATACTTGACAGTTAAGTTAAGACCAGCAGTTCTCAAAGTAAGACATGCTTCATTGTTTACATGAGGAAAATAATTTATTGTTTAAAAAAAGTAAGAGTCAGGAAAGTTGCCAGCACCTTCATCTTTTCTTTTTCTTTTACACATTGGTATTCTGGTCAGTTGAAAATAACCTGCTTACCGGTAGTTTTTTTTTAATAGCATGTTAAAAAAAAAGTGAATTTGGTTCAGTGTTTTCTTTTTTTTTTATATACTTTTGGTTATGATAAAACCCTTCTGGTTTTTTCATAACCAAAAGGAATGCTGCAAATGACATACCAGCACATCATTTTTGTCAAAATACAACCAGGGTTATGTAACTATAACTTTGACCTCAACATCTCATTTTGGCCTGGATGCAGTTGAAAATCCCTGGTTTGAACTCTTCATTAGAACTGTAGGCTGCAGGAGAGTGTACAGTATACATAAAGCAGCTGCAACGAAGTGCACAGTCCAGGATGAGCAGGGGATCAAACTATGTTGAACTCGCAAACTGAGGGCTTCTCCTCACGGCAGTTCTCATCAAGCCATTTCCCGTTGGATGCTGAAAGGGCACCACAGTTCTGGGATTTGCCCCCATCTGGCTGAGGAGATCTGAAGTCGGATGCATCCCAGTTTTTGTAAGCGACGCTTAAGCCGGCTTGGTCTATCCACTGGCCTTCGGTGCTCATGTCGTTGATGCCAATCCAGACCTGCTCATCCAGGCCCACACTCTGTCGGATGTAGTCCCTAAGCTGGTCGTTCTCTTCACTGGAGGTGGGTGTACCGAGGACGCCACCCAGGGCGTAGCAGTCATCACTGGCAGTGTGATAACGTTTCTTCAGAGGTTCAGCCAAATAACACTTTCCATGGATCTTTATTCCTCTTAAACACACTGTGAAGCAAGAAAGAATATAGATGGATTATGGAAAATAAGCGTCCCACAGGCTTTTGACTCCAGGCTGATTACACGTGTACGAGCTGACTGATAATCTACCTCAGACAAACAGCATACAACTATACTTTACCTTTAAACTTTTAAGTATTTTTAACTGGGTAAGAAACCATAACTTCAGGTTTTCTACACGTTTCACTGGTTGTTACATTTTAAACAATACTTTCATGAAGTAATGTTCTGATTTTTTACTGGGTAAAGACAAACAAACAGTTCTCAATTTAAATTAAGTGAGTAGTGACTGAAAATAGCATTATTGAAAAAAATATCAAAGGCTCCTATATGCAATTATTGGATTGTATCAGTACCTGAATGTGATCTATTCATGATGTATCAAAATACATTGCTTCCTAATTTGTACTGTAGAAGCTTTTTTTCAATCTGATGATCCTGTAAAGAAGCAGATTTGTTGCTTGAATTCCCCTGTTTGCAGAGCTTGTTTTTCCTTCAGCAGATTGAGCTCCTGAACAATGTCATCAATCTGTTTCTGCAGTTCCACCACAGCAGCATCCCTCGAAGGTTCTGATTGAAGACACAAAGCACAGTCTACATAAAACTCCAAAATCAAAGTGCACATGGGATGACATGGTCAAGAAAAATAATAAAAAAAACAGTTCTGGCCTTCTTCATACCCGTGAAAGTATCTCCATTTACCTTTTTTCGCTGACTTCTTCCTTGCTGTGTTCTGCTGAAGTGAGCAGTGGATGAGCAGCAAGACGCCCAGCAGAACAGAAACTCCTCTGAACTCCATTCTGAAACCTGTTGATTGTGGCTCCTGCAACGTGGATGCTCACAAATTTATCCATCTCCCTCACACCCTCCCTTCCCATCCCTCTTTACAAAGGAAAAGTACTGGAAAAGCTGTTTGTGGGGAACAAGAGTCAAACCTCAGCAGCCTGGAGGGATGGCGTGCTGTGGCGTCCCATCTGGCTCCAGTCTCTTCACGTGGAAGCAGCGTGCTGAGCAGAGCCAAGCCCGTGAGGCAGGTGCAGACAGGGTGGAGCAGGACTATTACATAATCCTTCAGCTGCTTTCATAAAGGACAAAAAAGGTCTAAACTCTGATTCTACTGTTGCATAAACTATTAATTTCTTAGGCTAATTTCTAATTTTGTTCTTTAAGTTGCCCTAAAAGTAATTGCTAATATAAGGTTAAAGATAGTATTAAAGACAGATGATGATTTCCCAATCTTTTACCACATACTATAAAGGTTTGGACCACTTAGACTATTAATACTTAACAATAATCTGAGATTTTTCTTTAGAAGTGCATCATTTTAATTCGTCCATCTACTGTTTTAAATATAAATATAGTCATCCTACAGCATAACCATGTTTATCTAACTGCCGTCTGTGTTTTCTAAAAATTTGAGCAGAAAATGGGAAGACTGTACGTCTTTGTGGCAAGTTGATGGCAGAAAAGAGCAGAAAGATGCAATAAAAAAAAAAAAAATTCTAAGTTAATGCAAAGGTTAATAGCTTCTCTGACAGAAATGTGAGAAAGTTTTGGTTTGTTTTGGGCCTTTTCACTCTCGTTAAATACACCCTGCAACAGTTCCAGGGAAGACTGGAAAGAGTCCAGCGTCCCGTCTCGACTTTGTGTAAAACTTCCACTGCAGAGTCCCTGCTGACGTGGCAAACACACAACTATGCAGAGAAGCTCAAACTGGTGTTTTAACTTCATCTCAGATCCACAGGGATGATGTTCCTGCTTAAAACTTTATCAAATTTTAGCTCATAAATAAGTATGTTTTGATAAATAAACTTCATGATATCATGAGTTGAGTTTTCAAGGGATTTGATTGATAAATTGATACATTTTTGAATATTTGCACTGGATGCCAGTAAGGGTGGATTACTAGTTCAAATGTGATATTTATTTTTTTGAATTAGTGTGTGATCACTAATTTTTTCGTAGAAGGCCACTTTTTTTGGCTCCCTTAATAAAAACAAATCATCCATGTCTGGGACCATCACACTCGCCCATTTTTAAGTGTAGGTATAAAGTTCCTCATCTGAAGCAAGGCTTTGTGTTGCTTTTACTAAATTGTGTTTTTTGCTTTGAAACTTTCTTATTGATACCTTTTTTGCTAGTCTCCTCTTAGATTTAGATCCCGAATAGAAACCTTAACTGGGGTAAAAATTTCTGTCATGTTGTACATGTTCCTTTGTGATCAACTGGTCATCGATGTGCTCCTAGAATATTGTTGGTCAGATCCTGGAAAGGTTAGAGTGGTTTTATTATAAAATGACGCTGCTTCATTGGCTGTTAAGTCATTAAAATAGTTTATTAGTAATCCAATACAGCAACATGCCACTGCCTCAAACATTACAATACATATATGATTGCAAACAAAATGCATTTCCCATTCAGTTTAACTATTTTTATTGCAAAGATAAAGGTCAATTTGTCATTTCATTCTCAACATCACAAAGGGTTTACATTAGGATCTTAGTGGAAATTAAAAAATTATTAAAAAAAAAAAACATGAAGATAGGTTCAAACAGCGATCATAAAGCAAAAATGATTACTAAAATATTTCAGCATGAATAATCAATAGTTATTGACATAGCAAGGTGAGAGCGCTATATTTACTGCCAATATTTCTTTGCAAATATTGCTAAACCAATGATATGTCAGAGATGACAGCTTCTGAAAGCTAAGAACATGAATCAGGCAATACTTACAAAAAGCAGATATTTCAAATTCTTGCAAAACTTACAAATAATACAAAAATATTTAAAATGCTAATTACCAAACTTCCAAATGACAGTTTTTTTCAAACACTAAATTCCTTCTACAGCTGAGCACCTTCTTCAGTAAAAGACTTAAACATCCTCAGCTGAAGATATTAAGTCAATTGAAGCAAAAGTTAATCACTAAACCTGGATGTTTTAAATCAGCTTCTTTCCGTACCTTTGGTAATTGTTAATATGCAGCAGTATGAAGGGGTCACACTCTGCATGAGCTTTTCTTTTTCTATTAACACAATAAAAGATAATAAATGCTGTGTGTTGTTTTATGCACTAGGTGTGTTTTATACTTTGTTTTCTTTGGGAGATTTACAATTGCCTGTGTTTTTATTGTCATATTTTTGTACACATCCTGATATTAATAATGAGTGCAAGTTTACAAATGTTCCCCTTTATTTTGAAAACAGGCCTTTAAAGAACCGTACAGCATGTTGTGCAGCCATAATCAGATGATAAAAAGGATTATTTTCTTCAGCTTCAACCCTGGCCTCAGATTCATGTCTGGACTGCAGCTCAGATTTTGCTTTTTCAATTTCTCTCTCCTGCTCTTCCTTCAGTTGCTCTTTCATGGCTTTAAACTCTCTTTCTCTAGCCTGTCTCTCTTCCTCCCTTTTTTCCATTTCCTTCTTTCTCTCCTCTGTCATCTCAGCCTTTTCTCTCCTCATTTCCTCCTCTCTCTCCCTCTTCTCTCTTTCTCTCTCAGCCTGGAATTGCTCGTTCATTTTCTGGATTTCTTTCTGATACTTTTCTTTCATATTTTTCTCCAGTTCTTCTTTCTCTTTACGTATCTTTTCTTCCTTCTCCTTCAGGATATGTTGTTTCTTCTGTTCGATTGCCTTCTCAGCCTCTTGAAACATCTCATTGGTATAGTGACTTCCTCCGTTCTTTTCAACTATTTTCTTGATCTTCTGGAGCAGCTTGTTGACCTGAACTCTATCTTTATCCTTATTGTTGAAGACATGATATTGGCCGTTACATCTGGACACCAGTTCATTCAAATCTTCGCTATCATGAAGAAACTCCTCAATGGTGCAATCAAGGTCATCCCCACGAGTAAAGAGAACCATGCTGTATTTGTCTGCAGCCTCTCCAAAGATCTCTTGGATCTGTTGCACTGATCTTTTTTCCTCTTCTGTGAATCTGCCCACTGCAGTGACCACAAGGAAGATATGGGGTCCAGGTGCAGCGTAACTGATGCACTGACTCAGGTCTTTTTTTGTTTTATCTTCTCCAAATCTGGTGTCAAACAGCCCTGGAGTATCAATGACAGCAACCTGCTGTCCGTCAATCTCAGAGTAACATTTGGAGCAGTTGACAGTCATGGATTTGGGGCTGCATTTGGACTGAAAGCAGGGTCGACCAAGAATGGTGTTTCCAGTGGAACTCTTCCCAATTCCAGTCTTCCCCACCATCACAATCCTCAGCTCATTGTCGTTTGTAAAGTTTATTCCTATGAAGAGGAAGGATGGAAATTCGATTAGAATAATCATCATTATCATATTTGAGGCAAGACTTAAAGTTAAAGTGAATTTTTCAACATGCTTGCCCTCTCCACTTTAAACTAAAAATGAACATGGACAACCCTCTACCCGCTCCTGAGAGGGAACGCCTATTAAACACTTGCAAGAGCATGCAGGAGCCCATTTCTCCTTGTGCACGCTCTGTTTCGCTCTTACAAGCTTACTTTCCAAAAGAAGATTTGCAATTTTTCCACTATGTCAGACTCACCACCGTTAAGTGAAAATGGGGGGTGAGCACGTAGGATGGCCTTACGTAAACATATCACCAGAATGATATTCAATTAGGAGGACCTCTTATTTCGCTGATCCACCCAGAAAAGAAATATCCTCCACTATGTCTTTAAGCTTCTGTGTATTTGAAAGACCAATGATGATAAAGGTATGACCTAAGAAGGCGGTAAGAGAATCAATAAAATAATGATAACCATGTATATAGAATAGAACAGAATAGAATAGAATAGAATAGAAAATCCCTTTATTGTCCAACAATGGAGAGATTTTGGTATAAAGATCAAATCTGATATATTTTTTAATTTTACAATATAAAATGTAAAGCCTTTTTGGTTTTACTGCCACAAGCACATAAGGTACATTTTACATGTGCTAAAAAAATTACTTTCATATTTGAAAGGGAGCTGCTGTTGGTGAGATGTATTGTGTTCACTTTCTGTTTGTACTGTTGAACTATGTTCAGAGTTGTTGCTCAGGCTCTCTCCACCTGAAAACAATGCAGGCTACATTGATAATTGGCAATCCTTTCTGGGGAGAACCTGGTCTGATTATGAGAGACGGCATCCATTCCACTTTGGATAGTGCAGCTGTTCTTTCTGACTGATTGACTGACTTTAATGATCTCACAGTGGAGAAATCTACTCATTACATCAGCTCAAAAAGTCAAAGGAGAAGACAAGGTGCCAAAGGAAGAAAAAGGAACATGGGATATAAACCGTATATATAGTGCGTCCACATATGACAGCTTTTTTTTTAATATATAGTAGGATTATTATACAGGGTAATTGCACAGGGTGTTTACATGGGTATTTATATAGTTGGATATTTATATTTATATATATAATTATTGCACTGGGTGTCAAATATAGAGAAATAGTTGTTGCTCAAGGTATCAAATAGTAATTGCACATTATAAATTGCAAAATTTATTGCTGTTGAAGTGTGTGTCACATTGTAGGGTGTGTTTGCAGCAGGGATGAATGAACTGTGGTAGTGCCCCTTTTTACAAATAGACTGTAAAAGTTTTTCTGTAAAGGAGCTGCTCAACTCCTCTACGGTCTGGTGCAGAGGGTGGAAGTGTTGTCCATGATGGAGCTCGGACAGCACCCTCCTCTTTTCTAGGAATCTGGCCATGTTTGTTAGTAGATGTACAGTGTGATATGCCAGCTGCACTGCATCCAAAACCACTGCAGCAGCTCATCAAGACTGCACTATGGATTGTTGGCTCCCTACACCCACTTAAGCTACCTACTTGATCTGTCTCTTTCAAATGGTCACAGAAAGCCTTTCCATTTAAAATGATTACATTGA